AGGGCAAAGCAGAACAAGGTGTTTAGAGAGCCCAAGTGGAGAGGACAGACCTCTGAAGGCATGGTCAGACGATCTATAATGGCCAGGGCTATGACTGAGAGAAATTCAGCAAATGGAACAACCTATAGTATATACACAAGGGCTACAAAGTAGTTAATTCCAATAAAGGGAGACAGGGGGGTTGGATGCCCATAGAGGTGGCTGTCAGCTGCTGTCGGTGTTCTGTTTTCCATGCTTGTAGTCTTATTTAAAATAAATTACTACCTGGGGTCTCTGGGTGGCTCAGTCAGTTAAGCATTGGACTTCGGCTCAGGTCATGGTCTTAAAATTCACGAGTTCGGGTCCCGCATTGGGCTCTGAGCCAACAGCTCAGAACCTGGAGCCTGCTTCAGATTCTGTGTTCCCCTCGCCCTCTACCCTATCCCCCCTGTCAAAAATAAATAAACATTAAGAAAATTAAAATAAATTACTACCTAAATAAAAAGAGGTCCTTGCACATGGGCCAATCATGTGTCATGGACCAAGGATTAGAATGAATCTAGTTTGCGCTCCTAGGTCAGCTATACCTCTGTTTCCAGAAGGCAAAAATTACTACTTAATGAATGAGTCCCCACAAGGAAAATTACTCTTAAGTTATGGCTGGAGAAGATCATAAGCAAGAAATGGTTCCCTGCAGTGCTGACTCGTTCCTTTTCTTCATCTGCTGCCGGTTACTTGGACAGTTTCACTTTATGAAAAGTCTGTGAACTATACACTCATGATACACTTCTCCATGTGTATTATCATTTTCAAAGAATAGAAAAGACATTTTTTAATTGCCTTCCCTATACTAAGATCCAGTGGATCCAATAAGCGTATTTAAGAACAACACCCCAGAACAAGACTGGAAGTACATACCACAATACTGCCTTTTGGTAAATTCTGTCAGGAAATAGACTAGAAGCCTGTGCCAAGCTGAGCCATATGGAAACCCAAGGCAAAAGGAAAAATCAGTCATACTGATCTTGGCTTTATTTAAATTAAATTAAAACAAAGTTGTATTTTGTTTTCATGGACATTTTCACCTTCATTTTGATTTTTTTTAAAAACTGCATTAAAATTTTTTTTTTATCTTGATTACTGAGCTTCTTGACACCAATTTAAATTTTGTACTTCCTAGTCCTGGCCCTGGCAATAACCAGAAACAGCTCGTTCTTGACTCTGATTCATCAAAAACCCAAATTCTATCTTCCCCATGGAAATGTCCATGCCACCAAGAGCACAAAGGACAGCTCTGATAATGACAGGTTCCTTATAATAACATCAGCCTGCCTACTGACATGGCTCTATATGGTACTTCCACATTATTTCACTTATCCTCACAGTAGGCTTGGCAAAGACATCAGTAAGACCTCATTTTGTAGGGAGAGCATGAGGCTCTTGTCTTTGGCTTGGTGGGAAACTAACCTTTCCAAGATTATTTGGGGCAGGGATGATGTGTAACTGATCTTTCTAGAACTCCCAGTGTCTAGGACAACTTCTTTTAGTTCAAGAGTCAGACTGCATACCTCCAAATCCTGGATCCACCATTTCCTGGATGGCTGTGTGACCTTGAGCAAATCACTGAATTTTTCTAAGCTTCATTTTGTCATCTGCAAAAGACAGATAAGAATAATCAATTTGTTGAGAGGACAAAATAAGTTTATCCATGCAATGTGCTTAGCAATGTGTTTGGCACAGAGTAGGTGCTTAATAAATGTTAACTATTATTGCATGTAGTACAGGCTTGAAAATATTCACAGAAAGGACCAGCTGTCATGATAAACTTTTGGTAGGGAGAACCTTTCAGCTGAGAAGGGAGCTTTCATCAGAATCTATTATCAGAAGAGTTATCTGAATCCTGGAAATAGACAAAAGAGATTCAAATGCTCTTTGGACAGGTTCTTTTGATGCATTCCTGGTCTTGACTTTCTGTTTCCTGAGCTATTTTATAATTCTGTAAGGGCACAGGTGGACTTGTAGGATTTCGACTGATAGAGATACAAGTAATTTTAGTCCGGGGAAGCAGACACTCCATAGATTGCAATGTGTGGCCCTACTGAACTTGAACCCAGCAATGTGTGTGTGTGTGTGTGTGTGTGTGTGTGTGTATATATACATATAAGATTGAATGTATGTATATAGCCCCAGCTTCTCAAATTATAATCATAATTATATATAATATATATGCATGTGTAGTAGATACAACATAATTATATATAATTATATATAATATGTCTATGTACATATATATTCATTATATGTTATATAACATAATTATATAATTATATACATCATATTATATATTATATAATAATTGTAATTATGTAACATATAATGTTACAGCATATAATTGTTATAGTTATATCGTAAAATTATATGTAATACATATATGTGTACATCGACTATATATATATACACTATACATATATATATTTTATACCTACACATGTATGTATATATCCCTAGCTTTTCAAATACTCTTTGGACAGGTTTCAACACAGTACTGGTTATTTAATTAATGAGTTGAATAAAATCTTTGACATGTATTCCTTTTGTATTTGCATGAGTCCTTTTTGTTGTTTTTAGAGTCATGCTTTTTTAACCTTTTGAAAATTATATTTTAACACCATGCACAGAGACAAGGCTTTCTCTGGGGACCCAAATGAGGCCTTTAAGGAAGCCACGTGATTCCTGGCTGAACAGAAACATCCCAGCAACACCTTTCAAATTTGAGTTGGCCACTGAGCAGTGCTGGACCTGGCCCCTTGCCTCAGGCACAGACAGTGTGGGAGTGTGAGGACTTCATTCCCCAGCTCCACTGAGCAGCTTTCCTCCCCTGCTTCCAAATGAGGTTCCAGGTCAGAGCAGAGGCTGGACCAGCCCCCTAGAGCTCACCAATTATTTGGCAAAGTGCAGAGATAACATTCTGTGCAAATTTCCTCACATTGTTCTGCCTAGCTCTAAATGCTCTCCGATGGTATATTCTAGAGATAAGTGACAGGAGAAGGGTGGAGAACTTGGGTCTCCTCCTCCACATGTCCCAGTCATTCCCACTATTACTTTACAGCCACTCAAGATGAATGTGACTTGTCTCACCTTCTCTTTCTGCTACTTTCTGGCAAAAGCTGGAATTAGAAAGTCTTTTACCTCCTTCGAGTCCCAGTGAAGATCCCCTCCTACTGGGGTCAGAATAAAACCTTAGTGTTGCCCAGTGGGGCTTGTGTAATGGGAATCTGTCTTTGAGTACTGCCTTTGTGGGGCCCAGCGGGGAGCCTTAAAGGGGGAGCCACATTCTGGTATCCCTTTCCCTCAGCCCAGCTCTCAATCTGCTTCCAGCCAGGACCTCCTAGTTTCCTTCCTTTGTTCCCACTCTCTCCCCAAGCCCCTTCCTAATTGCAAGAGAAAACTTTGGATCAAGCCAAGGAGAGAAAAGAAGCCATCTTACCTTGGCCTTAATTTTAAAAAATCATTCCTTCAACAGATATATATTGATTTTTTTCATATTTGCCAGATACTCTGCTAGGGGATGGGGTCACAACAGACCCCAGCAATTCTAGGAGTTTACATTCTAGTGGGAAGGGAAACAATAAATCATTAAATAAGTGAGTGATTATATAATACCAATATGTATTATCAAGAGTGCTATGAACTAAATACGGGTGGCAGAGTATCTCCTCCAGATATGGTTGTTAGAGAAGAGTCCTCCAAGAAAGAGATACTTAAGCTCAGATGTAGAGGACGAGGGAAAAGCCAGGCTGGAGAAAGTGTGGAGGGTGGAGACTACAGCGGCCAGCAACCACAATGTCATGGTGTGTGAAAGACGACTGCTAGGGAGTAGACAGTCCCCAAGATGGCCCCTAGTGAGTCTCACCTTCTGATACTCACACCCTTATGTACCTCCCTTTCACGTGTAATAGGGATGGTCTATGTAGCCAATAAAATGTTGCAAAAGTGAAGGAATAAGACTTCCAAGCCTAGGTCACAAAGGGCATTGCAGATTCTGTTGTGCTCTCTTGGATCACTCAAGCAGCACTACGGAGTGATCCACATGGCAAGGAACTGAGGCTCCTGCAAAAAACAAAGGGAATGAGCCACCTTAGAAGCAGGTCCTCTAGCCAAGCTTCCAGATCACTGCAACCTCATGAGACACCTAGAGGCAGAACCACCCTGCTAAGTCAGTTCTCAGCTCCTGACCCATAGACACTGTGTAAGGCATTAAATGTTGGTTGCTATCATTTAGGTGAGCCCTGGGTAATTTGGCAAGAGAAGGTCAATGTCCCACTCAAGTACCCAGGCACAGCACAGACTCAACCTTTCTATACTTATTGTAATTTCCAGGCCCTCAGTGGATGAGATGGTGCCCACCCATGTTGGGGAGAGCCGGTTACTTCACTCCAGTCAACACCAACTCAAATGCTGATCACTTCTGGAAACACCCTCTTAGAAACATCCAGAAATCATGTCTAGCCAGATGACTCTGTATCCTGTGGCCCAATCAAATTGACACATAAACTTCACTATCACAAAGACAACATCTGGGTTTTCAGTTAAGGTAATGAGGTGGAAGGCAGTGCCATTCACCGAGATGGAGAAAACACAGAGGAATAGGTTGGAGGTAACAGAATCAAAAGAGAAAGATTAGCTCATCTCCCAGTTTTTATTACATTTGGGAGACTTTGGTACAACATGGGTATAATCATCAGACATGACATTAGATTCACCTGATCAACCCAGTTTTATTCAGTAGCTCTCCTTCAGCTACTTGGATCTTGGGACAGTACAGGATCTGCCTGTCCTTCTCCACCTCACAGGCAGCTGGGTGCCACAGTCCAGAGTTACCATGGGGCCATTTTTGCAATTGTATGGTTAGCACTCATTTCACTGAATTTTCCTTTCAGAATCCCAGTGGTCTGCTCATTAATAAAAGACACAATCTTGTGCCTTTAAGCCCAGTGATATCAACCTCTCCAGAGAGCGTAGCACTCACTTCAGCAGCATATAGGAGAAAACTGAAATGAATCAGAGAAGATTAGCATGGCTCCCTGCACAAGGATGACATGCAAACCCTCTAGAAAGTGTAGTATGATTCTTGATTTCAATGGATTTCTCTCATCCCTACTGCCCTGTTTGAGTTTCTTTGTGCTAAAGTCTGCATTGTTTAAAAATTTGGTATCATAACTGTAAATCAAGAGCCAAGTCTTAATTGTGCTCTGTGTAATGGATTAATGAGAGCAAGTAAACAGCAGTATTATATATAGTAATTGATGAAGGGCGATGCTTTGTCAGGCTACATTAACAAATGAAGTAATTTCATAGATTTTAATGGGATTTGGTGGTTGTTCTTACTTGTTTGTTTGTCTTTTTTTTTTTTTATAGTAGAATAGAGGTCAATCTGAGGACTTGCAATGAAAAAATTTCTTCTTCACTAAAAGTTATAGCGTGTTTCAACTTCAGATGATGTGCCCTGTTCTAAGGGATTTTTGGAGTAGAATAGCTCTTATCAAGTGTAGAATTATGTTGGCTGTCAGATGGTCTCAGAAAGGGTAGCCCCCAGAGTCAGGTCCCAGGGTCTGTCCCACCCCTCCTGGAAATTCTCAGACCACCTGCTCCCCCCACATCATATTGAAGATGTCAGGCTAGATCTCTAAACATCAAGCCTCATGACAGTTGTGCCTTGCTAGCCATTACTCCAACTCTGTCCCCAGACTATAAGTTCCCAGGAGCTTAGTGGCAGCCAGAGGAACTTACTACAATGGATCTTCCCAAGCACTCTGTACAGTGTCAATAAATGCTGGCTGCTATCACTCAAAAGAAAGAGAGGAAAAGTTACATATATGAAGGCAACTGTAGATATGGATGACACACATATTTATGAATGGAAAAAAGACCAAAAGAAGTACAACAAAACATTGCCAAAAGCTACCTCTGTGAAATAGGATAGCGCTTCATTTTTTTTATTTTTTGCTTTTCAATATTTTCTGCAATAAACATGTGTTCATTCAACAGATACTTTTTGCATGCTTACTCCATATTAGGCATTGTCTAGGCACTGAGGGATATAAAGATGGAACAGACACAGTCCCATCCCAGAGGGTGATATCCAGTGTGGGGGACAGATAAGGACAAAGGGAGAGACAGTGCACAACTTCAAGGCCATCATCAATGTTACATATATCCCAGATCTGAATAGTTAGTTGATTTTTCCTGCAGATGAACCTACAGAGTCTTTAAAAAGGATGTCTTTTTAAAATTCACGTAAAACCATCAAATAGGGGCGGCCGGATGGTGTGCCTGGCTGACTCAGTCAGTAGAGCATGCAACTCTTGATCTCAGAGTTGTCAGTTTGAGCCTCATGTTAGGTGTAGAGATCACTAAAAAAAATATTTTTTAAAAAAACCATCAAATGGTGGAAGAGTAGCCATGAACAATTGTAATGCAGTGAAAGACTAGTGATGGAAACACAAAAGGTATCATGTAAACATGTCTGAAGATGGTCTTTGGGAATGGGAGAAGCTTTCGATAGGAAGAAACATTTCCATCAAACCTGATAGATAAGAATTACTATTGCATTTATAGCCAGGATAAAACAAAGTGCTTAAAAATTAGTATTGGCTGTTATTGAATGAATGGCTATTAAACATTGAATGTGAATGAATGAATGAATGAATGAAAAAATGAATATAAGATTTTTAAAAATCAGAAAGATCAAATGACTGGTCCACTTACCACCAATGTGAGGAAAAAATCACAACTGGAAAAACAATTGCCCGACTTTCAGCCCAGAGTTGTTTCTTCAGTGTGGTCCACAGGCTAGTAGTAGTATCAGCATCACCCAGACTTATTAGAAATTCAGAATCTCAAAAAAAAAAAAAAAAAAAAGAAATTCAGAATCTCAGACCCCATCCCAAACTCACCAAATCAAAATTAGCATTTTAAACAGAACACAGGTGATTTGTGCACACACAGAAGCTTATGAAGGGCTAGGCTTGTGATTCACAGTCTCAACTGAACATTAGAATCACCTGGGAGCTTATACAAATCTAATTGCTCAGGATGGCTTGGTGGTTACAAGCACAAGTCCTGGGTCTCATTTCAGATTCTTTGGTTGATTAACTGTGTGGCCTTAGAGCAGATCCATGACTTTTGGTGGCTTGGTTTCTTCATCTACGTGGTAGGCAGCTACTGACCTGGTTCCCAAAGTTCCCAAAGGTTGCTTTCTCCTGGTATTCGTGCACTTCTGTAATCTCCTCCCCTGGAATGTGGGCTAGGCTTCATGGCTTGCTTCTAATGGACAGAATACAGAAAGACAATAAGACATCATCTCCAAGTTTAGGTAGCAAAAGCCTGTGACTCCTATCTTGCTCAATCTTGACTCTTCTCATGCATTCACTTTGACTAAGCAAGTTGCCATATTGTGAGCTTTCCTATGGAGAGACCCGCATGGCAAAGAACTGGGTCTCCCCATAGGAAAGCTCACAATATGGCAACTTACTTCATGGCAAGGGACTCTGGTCAACAACCAACAAAGAACTGGGGCCCTGAGTCTGACAGCCACAAGGAATGGAATTCTGCCAACAGCCACATGACTTAGCTTGGAAGTGAGTTCTCCTCTAGTCAAGCTTGAAGTCACTGCAGCCCTGGCCAACACCTTGATCAGAGACTTACAAGAGACACTGAGCCCAAAGACCAGCTAAGCCACACCTGGCTGCTTGATCCACAAAAACTGTGAGAAAATAAATGTTTTGTTGTTTTAAGCCACTAAATTTTGGCTGCACAGTTAATAGATAACTAATATAATCCATAAGGTGGTAATGACAGCAGTATTCATTGATAGAGTTATTGCAAGATTAAATAATTGCCATGAAGTGCTGAAAACAGAGCCTGGCATGTAATAAATATCATATGCATTTTGCTGTTAGATATTATTAGAAAGCACTGATGCCCTTGGTACCTACCAACGAATGTTAAGTACTTTCTCTATCACTAAATGGTCCCAGCCCCCTCTGCTTCCTGAAAATTTCCTTCCCTAACTTCCTTGTCATCTGTCACTCCAAATTGATGTCAATATGTCTGCTTCTGGGAGTTCCTCCTCACCCTGATAAAATAATAAATTAAATAAATAAATGTTTTCTGATCTGCTATAGACTGGGAAACTTGATAAAGAAACTTGTTATTTTTATACCTAACCCAAAAGTAAATAGGCCCTGATTCTGTTTCTGGAAAGTTCTCCTACGAGTACAATTAAAAGTCTTTTTTTTTTTTTAATACAGGGTGTTTGTTACCATCTTTTTGATGTCCAAAGACCCTTGTTGTTCCAGTGTCTCAAGAATGCTGTAGTCTGGGAGGCCATTTGATATAGGAGACATCCTCACATGTTTACCATGAGATGAGAACATTCTACATCAACTGTGTCACTCATTGCATCTGTGATTTTAGTCATGCCTAAGCTCACTTCCTCTTAGCCCTACCCAGGCTTTGTTGATTTCAGCAAACAATATCATTTATTTCAGCCAAACTATATCGTATCAGTTTCTCAGTTTAACGAAATTTCACTTCTGTCATTTGCTGTCAAGAGTCCTAACATAAGCATAGGTATTAAGGGAGATGTGATAGACAAGATCCAACTGAGATCTGGAGAGTAAGGTGGCTGTAAGTGTGTGCAGAAGAAGAGAGAGGATTGGAAGACGGTTTAAGGCCAAAGGAACAACTTGTATGATAGCTTGGATTTCTCGAAGCAAGAGGAAGTAAGGCAGGTCTGAGGGCCAGAAACAAAGCAATGTGTCTGGAGTGCAGTGCAAGGGGGAGGAAGTGTATGACACGTGAGAGGGACCAAAGCATGCCCCTCAGACACCAGGTAGAAGTTTGGGTTTGGATCTGAGGGCACAGGCCCAACACTGAAGAGTGTTAAGTCAGGGGTTGACAACCCGCAGCCCTGAGCCAAATCTGCCTTCTGCCCATTTTGGTAAACACATTTTTATTGGAACATGGCCAGAGCCACTCATGTACACAGAGGCCTCCATTTATGATGCAAACGCAGAGCTGATCAGTTGTAACAGAGACAGCATAGCCTGTGAAGACTAAGATATTGACCATCTGACTCTTTACAGAATAAGTTGCCAGTCTCTGTTTTAAGTGAATGGCTTCTAAGCTCAGACCTGCACTCTGCACAGATTCTGAATGCTGGTTGAGAATGTTTTGACAAAGGGCAGATCCGTGGTCACCTTTCCCTTCCTTGTGCCCCAGCTGGGGCCAACGCTCAGCTGTCCTTGTATAAGAGATATTAGGGGGAGAGAAAGGAGGGGCTGATGGTTTGGGAGGTCCACAGACAGGTAAATCAGACTCTACAGGGGTTGGTTACATTTTCAATAAATATTTTGGAGAGTAAGAGAGACAAAATAGAAATGCGTTCTTTTCCTACTGTTGATACATCAGAAAACATGGTGGCAAGTTAAATACAAAAAAAAAATCTGGAGTTAGGGGCACCTGGGTGGCCTAATCGGTTAAGCATCCCACTCTTGATCTTGGCTCAAGTCATGGTTCCAACCCCATCTGGGCTCTGCACTGATGGTGCGGAGCCTGCTTGGGATTCTCTCTCACCCTCTCTCTCCCCCTACCCCACTCACACTCACTCTCTCTCACAAAGTAAACTTTAAAAAAGAAATCTAGAGTTGGTTAGTAGTTTAAAACAAAACAAAAACCAAAAAGCCATCCCACCCCCAGGCCTGGCGTCTACTTATGCAATGACCCTCTCCTCACCAATAGTCTCTGTAGCAGTACAAATCTGGGGGCGGTGTTCTTTTGCCATCAAAGGAAGGAAAGTCACAAAGAGGTGGAAAAGACTCTGCTGGTCCCAAAAGCACAGTTGCTTAGGTCCTTCTCGGGTTTACTTAGGAGTAGTGCTTGCTAAGAAAACAATTATTATTCTCTAACTTTGGTTGGGAGTGGGGAGGGCGAGATAGAAAACGTGAAGCCAAGGGGAGTTGTTTCTTCAGGACAGCTGGCAGAGACCCAAAGTACAAAGTTGTCTACAAACTCTCGAATCAGTGTGAGACTTGAAAGAGAACTATGTGCTGGCAACGTGGGCTGGCCC